AATGTTATGTTACTCCTTATCAGTGTATATAAAAACTCCTTATCAGTGTATATAAAAACAGGAAGTGAAAAAATTCTGTAGAGGCATAGTTCATAATTTCCCAGAATCCACATATCACACAGATAAGTAGTAATGTTTACAAATAGGCATGCTCTGCTTGCATATTAGATACCATGTTGCAGAGTCTGTTTGTAATTCCAACACAGCCTTCTAGTACATGGAGGAGTATATCTAAACATAGCATGCTACCGTAATAAGAAAAACCAATATGGATTTTGTAGCCATGCTTAGGAATCTGTTCTAGTGCCTGTGGGGTTTTCACTCTGGTAAGTTTTTATCGTGTACTCATTAGCTTCAAAACAAACTACCCATATTGTTAGCAGCCAGAAGACTGCTTATTTAAAATTCAAGTAGCAATGAAATTTCCCTCCACCTCAAGATGCAGCATTTGGCAAATTTATATGATGCCATTCAGAATGATGTAAAAGTTTGACAGCTTTCACAGTTAAGGAGAATTTGAAAACTTGCTGGCTGCTTTGGCTGTTTTGTGGTTGGCTGCCTGGATTAATTTTGAGCAAAATTTATTCAATAGCTACTGTAAAAGTTAATGTTGGATATTCAACTAGTCAGTATTAAATCATTCAAAGTATATTGACAACATTTTTAGTGACAAATTCATGTTTAGGACTTCATAGATCAGTTCACTCAGTGCTGTTTCATCATTGTATTGTATTGTAAGCCACCCTGAGCCCACCTCGACGGGGAGGGCAGGGTATAAATTAATTAATTAATTAAATATTATTTTGCATTCATAATCAGACTGATGTAAATTATGGCAAAGGGCCAGAATTTTTTTCCTCTCGAGCACAGACCAGCATGTTGTGCATGATTCTGCATGATGCTAACAATTGTGAGACAGAGCAAGGGACTGGCAGTTTGGTAGTTATTACAGAGTTAAAGGGGACCACAATTTGCACTGTAGGGTAGGACTAAAGTAGAGGCAAAGTACAGTTTGTTTGTTTTGTTTTAAAGCCCCAGGAACTGTATGGTGCCACAGTTCAGAAGTAGGGATGGATGGCTTCAGAATTTGACTTTTATAGGCCAGAAATCCTCATCCCATTACGAACTCAGTTCACACCTCCTGTTAAGCTTGGGCTTAGCTGGTCATAGGCTCAGCCTGGACCCACCCTGTCCTAGCATGCCTACCAAATTTGCTTTTCCCTCCAAATTTACCTGGCAACTGCAGAGGATCCCGATGACCTGGAGGTGTCTGAGTCCATGCAGACTTCATCATGTATGGATGTTTGCTGCCGGGATACTATTCTGAGCATGGACAGCAGCAATCCAAGCATAAGGCTACAAAGGGAACTCAATTACCCTTGTGCTTGTGGAGGTGTTTTGTTGGTGCTGAAGCTCAAATAGGAGGCCTCCGCTTTGCCAGTTCCTTTTTGTGGAAAGGGATGGTGATGGGAAGGGAATCTTCCGAGGCCCATCAAACTTGTGATAACACTGCACTGAGACTGAGCTTAAATGAGTTTAATGTGGGCCTGAGTGAACTGGTTTGAGGTGTGACGACATTCATGGCTGGTGAAGCCTGCCAGTCAGCATGCTGTGCAAGCCCCTTTATAGGTCTTATTTTACACCCTGGCTGCCTACAGTTTACTCTCTCTCTCTCCCTGGTCACATTTACTGTTTCTCCCCTCCAGGATGCAGTTTCTGTAGTGTGGGGCAAGAGGAATATTTGGCAGTGACTTTTTCTTAGTGTGCTGCTTTCCTCTCATTGGTGCTTACTTGGAATGCCAGATGACCTTTTTTATACAGAACTTCGTATTTCTAAGCTGTTCTTTCCTGCAAGAACATTACTATTCTATTTATCATATGGCAGAGTTGCACACAGGAAGCATATCATAACATAAAATGCATAACCAAGTTGATACAGTGGGTATGCAGACCAATTGGTCAATGCCCCTAAATACTAATATCTAAATTTTTAATCTCCTCAATCACAGCTGGGGAGAGTTCAAAGAGCTCTGTCGCATCTCCCTGGAAAGCACGACACTCACATTCCTGTGACAGATAGAAAATAGTTTGGCAGGCTGCACCACAATTGCATTCGGGTCCTGGTATTTTGCCCTATTTAAACAACAGGTCTGCACAGTGGCCAAAGCCTGTTCATGTTCTGTTAGCCATCTTCCATAGTTTACATGGCTAGTCAAATCCTGTGGGCCTCTCACTGGCGTTTATTAGGGTATGGATATTGGGTGGAACTGATTGCATCCATGATTGCAGGCACGTTTCAAAAGCTGGAGTTCTTTTTTTATCCTGATTGTAAAATGTTGATCCTTTGGAGATCTGGATAGGGATACAAGTCAGGCAGCTACCTGGTTTGATGTTACCGCCGGATTTCCTTGGTGCACAGGTGGGCTTGCACCTAGTTTTTTCAGCCGGCTCAAGGCTTTCCTACTGGAATGCTTGAAATCCAAATTTGCAGTTGCTTCAGTCCATTTTTGTCTACATGCAGCACAGAGTTAATGGAGTAGTGCATCTGCTACTTTTGAGTCTTTGCTGTTGAGGAAATTTTGATGTAGCCTGGAGTATATTCTTTCCGATATTCTTGAGGAATGTGACTTTTGGCCGTGGATATAACAGCTCTAACAAATCGGTGGTAGCTACTATGTGTTGGAGGGACCCATCCAAGACACCTATCCAGATCTTTCACTGAAACCTTTCCAACTCATCCTCTTAAAGTTCCATTGTGGTCCTGAAAAAGACCTGATGACTGGTATTTGGGTTCCTAGCTTGAGGATTACCGGTCAGTGCTGACTATGTGGGAAAGCCACAAAAACATGAAGAATCCCTTTGGAAGAAAAGCTCTTCTAGCACACCCGGCAAGAAAAGAGTCAGACCGATTTCAGACAAGAGCTACGCACACAAAAACAGGATCACGAAACCACGGGGAAAATCGGGCAAAGCCGCGGGTCAAAATGCGGCCACGCGGCTTTGAGTGGGAAATTGACCAATAGAAGCGGGGCAAAGGGAGGTGCGACCGCGGCGCAGCTCTTGTGTGAAATCGGTCTCACTGTATAACGATTAGAATCTGAAATTTGGAAACTGCAAAATGAGGGGGAAACATTTTGGGATGGGGGAGAACAGGACATAGCCTCCTAAGGTTTCTTCAGTATATCTGGGTTGGATCCTGCCTAAATTTCCTCTGATACAAGGGAGACGATTTTTTCCCAATTCCCCCTCCCCACAGTAGTCCTGCAACTCCCCCACGCTGTTTTTGGAGGCAGAGGACTGTCCCCCAGAACTAGCACTTCAGGGCATGTTTTGGGCCGTAGAAGGAGGAGAGGGGAAATCAAAGTCTGTGAATAGAAATTCTTCCACCCACAGAATTCTAAGCTGAGATCTAAAAGTTAAAGATTAACTGAGTAAAATTGTTCTACTTTTGTGAACTTTTGCAGTCACACAGACAAACTGAGATAGTTTATGTGCTAAAAATGTTGCATGTTCCAGTTTGTTAGTGCATTGTCCTGCAGTTCCTGGAGGGCTCTTCAGTAACCTGTTTTGGAACATAAAGAATGGTTGTCAGTCAGACGTCAAACTTTGTGGCTTTATCTCTATAAAGCCCTATAATTTAGTGTACTGAAAGTTACTGTCTAAAAAATGGGCCTCTTGGCCAGAATGTGGATTCTGAGCTAGACCTGTGACAGGCTTAGCTGCTGCTGCTGCTTTTTGTTTTCTTAAGCCTATGACTCATGGTTTCAGAGAGAGAGGCTTCAGAATATATAGGCAATTATTGTGCTATATGCATAGTAATGGGGGGGGGCTTTTAAATACAGGGGAAGATGTGCTCTCTTCCCTTTCAAGACTTGGGCAAGATAGAAAGAGTAGGTGGCCCCTTCTTTATTCTATCCCATTTCTTGCACAGATATTCCTTAGTAAATACTGTATACTGAATACTGAAATAGCCAGTAGGAAAACTATAAATATATAAAATAGCTCAATAGCAGGGTATAGATGATATAATCAGAATAGAAATGTCTACCATATTTATTTATTTATTTATATCTTCGATTTCTACCCCGCTCCAACCCCGAAGGGTCTCTGAGCGGCTTACAAGTTCCAAATTTATCCCTAGCTAAGGCCACATATCTACAAGGGTTGGGGCTGCCTACCGGCACCCATGTGGCAGGGCTCGCTGGTTTTTTTTTCTTAGTTCTTTCTCGAGCGGTCTTTTTGGGTGTCAGTGCTCAGTTCCTGGTGTGGTCGTCCGGTCCGGCGGCTTCTTCTTTCTCTTTTTCTTTTCGGCGGGTTTCTTTCTCTTTCTCTTTCAGCGGGCTCGTCTGGTATGTGGGTCGCATCGGCTTACAGCCCAGCTACGTCCGTATGGCTCCGCTGCGCTTGCGTCGTGTCACCACGTCCTTCTGTAGCTCCGCCTTCTGTTTCCACCTCCATCGCTTCGCTTGCCTTCGCTCTGCCGCTCCGACGCTACGCCACTCCATCACCGCCATTTCCACCACCGCCACAGTCGCTTCTACTGCTCCTGCCACACACCCCCGTACGGGGAGGGTGCCCCCTGCCACCTAAGGGCAGGTACCCATTCATCTACTTGCTTATATTAATTGCTTTCGAACCACTGGGTGGGCGGGAGCTGGGACTAGGACCAGGAGCTCACCCTGGCCACGGTGGGTCTCGAACAGCTGTAGCAGCTGTTCATTGATGTTACCAGCAGGCGATTTACCGCCTGCGCCACCGCTCCCTATAGACCATAGGGATCTAAATTTTTTTAAGTGGTGTGTGTGTGTGCCTCTGTGCAAATGACCATTCTTGGTTAGTGAAGCGAACATATTTTCTTTCTTATGTGCTGTATCCAGAGTGTTTGTGAGAGAGTGCACCTGGAACAAAATTGCTAGAGGTAGCACAGGGAAAATTCTCTGAAAATGTGCAGTTTGTCCATGTTCTGCTAATCCACATGCCTTCCTCTCCTTATTTTCCAGAGAGAAGATACTATAGACCTCGTCCCAATGGACTGAGCTTTTCTTCTCATACTGTGGCAGCCCGCCAGGCCAGTGAGACTGCCTTGACACCCCTGACAGAGCAAGAGGGGGAGGCATACCTTGAGAAATGTGGAAGCATCCGTCGGCATACTGTTGCCAATGCTCATTCGGATATCCAGCTATTGGCCATGGCTTCCATGATGCACTCGGGCATGGTGGTGGAAGAACCAGATAATGGTGACAAATGCCTTATCCTGCAGTCCAGCTTAAACCACAGGCAATGTTCAAGTGAGCCCAGCATTGCAGATGGGCCAGAAGGACTGGGGACACCAACTATGCAGGAGCCTTCAGAACTGAGCTGCACATCTGTCTGCTAAAAGGCTACACAACTGGAACTGCTCCTGGGAGAAGAAGAAGAAGTGCACTTATCAAAACAGTGGATTGCTAATTGCTGCTGTGAACAGTGGAGAATTCAAGCACTAGGAATTGAATCTACTTGACATGTCTGGGGGCTGGCTTAAAATGTTGACGTCTCTTTTGAAAATGTTTTTCATCTCCCCAGTTATGTGGCTTATTTTTCAATGATGGTACAAAGCTGCTAATTTCTAGTACTCCAGCATCCTTTATCTGTCTTTTCTGTTTGGGGAGTGGCCTTTTTCAGAGGTTTTCCTCGACTGGGTTCCTCCCCCCTGGGCTGCTCTTGCCTTCTTTGACTTGTGCATTTCAGGCACTGTGGTATTGTGTAAGTGTCATTTGGGGATGTAGTACATAACTAGGAAGGTGAGAAATGCTACAGGGGAATGCAACCACCCTGTACTGAATAGAGGAAACCAGCCATGAAGCCTTTTGCACCATAGGAAAAGTGACAAGTGGCGCATAATGAAGCACTGAGTCAATGGCCCTTTTCACGCTACTGTTGTAAACTGGATGTTCTTTGTTGTTGGCCTGATTTCGAGTAAAGTGATACAAGGACAGGGGTTTCATACAGTGAATTTCCTTCCATTAATGACCCTTCTCTGAAGCACTATGGTCATTCCAAACAACGCCACTCCCCCCCCCCCACCATGTGATCTTCCTCAGAATTTGGGGTTTTTTGAATGTACTAAGTTGAGTAAGTAAAGGTAAAGGTTTCCCTTGCTTGAAAGCTAGTTGAATTTGACTCTAGGGGATGGGCTCATCTCCGTTTCCAAGCTGAAGAGCCAGTGCTGTCTGAAGACGTTTCCATGGTCATGTGGCCGGCATGACTAAACGCCAAGGCGCACGGAATGCTGTTACCTTCCCACCGAAGCGGTACCCATTTATCTACTTGCAATTTCTTGCTTTCGAACTGTTAGGTTGGTAGGAGCTGAGGCCAGAGATGGGAGCTCACTCCGTCATGCGGCACTAGGGTCTTGAAATGCCGAACTACAGACCTTCCGGTCTGCAACTCAGTGTCTTAACCTCTGAGTCGCTGTGGCTCCATCTAAGTTGAGTGCTGTAGTGCTAAATCAATTGAGTCAATGGAGCCAAGACACCTCAGCACTATAGCACTCAACTTAGAATGTTTTTTAAAAAGTCCAAGGAAGATCGCAAGGCGAAAAAGGACAGGGGGAAAAGCGGTATTGTAGGAAGCATTAGGGACATTTTAAAGAGCACACCACAGTGATTCAGAAGCACAGGAAAGAGGTTGAAAATGGAAGAAAGCAGTTTCCCTCAAAAGCAGGTCAACCACCCTTTGCTAACCCGACGCAAGCGGGTTTGTATGAACAGGTAAATAAATTCGGCTAGCAGCCAGTTATTAAAACGGGTCAGTCTGAAATGATAGGAAAAAATCCGTTAGTGGCCATTTACTAAAACAGAATACAAAGGTAGTTTGAAAAGGGCCATACTGAACTGTATGGATGAGAGTACTCAGTTATTTAACATAGAATGAGAAGGACTAGTTTCATCCGCTACTACTTTGCCTCATTGTTCAGCAGTCATTGGAGAAGAAGCTGCTACTGCCATTTGGTTCTTCTGTTGCTAGATTTCAAGTGGTTTTAATGTTTTGTGTTCAGTGTTGGTTTCCTCAGGGATAACTTCCAAAGAACACTCTTAATTGTTTTGATTTCAGAGTCACAACTGGGGAAAGTCTCCCATTTTAGGTAATATTTCTTTGATTGCATGAATATGCTTGCCAGAGATCAGCACCAGTGATGAACAGATAACCATTCAACAATGATATGCTGCTGAATGGATTGGTTTTCATGAATCCATCCTTCCAGAGCAAGAAGCTTTTCTCTGACACAAGGAACCTTTCTGTTGTGGAAGACACTCCACTGATATGATTTTCTCTAAGGAAACTTGCTGTTGTGGAAGACACTCCACTGATATGAGAGGCAGTAGTGACTTTTGCCTGCTGTTCTGTCCTCACTGCAGCAATCTGCAGTTTCATACCTCTTAGTTCACAAGTTCCCAGGCCTCCAGTATTGCTTTCTAAGCTGTTGCTGCGGGATGGTAAAAGTGGGAAAGATTTGTATCTGTAATTGCCTTTCATTGGTGCATAGGAGTCAGTCCATTAATTCCTATAAGTAACGGAAGTAGAGAACTGTTTAGGATGTAAATACTTTCTATTGCCATCAAAAATGAAAGAAACTTAACTTTCTTACTATGCGTGGGATTGTGTTGTCTACATGAGCCCATAAGACAATGATCTATAGGTTTCATCCTCATAGCCCTGTCTCAAGCAATCCACTTTATCAGGGAAGGTTAGACTTGGTTTCAGCCAAAGGGTCGCTACCCCCAATAGGATTGAGGCCATCATGACAATGGTTACAAGGTTCACCCTCACCCAGTTTTAACCAGTCTATAACATACAGCACCTATTGGGCCTCATGGCCTCCATGACAGCAGTACTGCCCTTAGCAAGGGTTTTCATGCACCCTGTACAACCGTGGGTCTTAGTTCAGACTGGGGGTTCACTCCCAACTTCACAGGCTTTCTGTCCCTAGACCTGTAATTATCTCTCTTCAGTGGTGGTCATTGACAGAGAATGTGGGCCAAGGCATTCCCTTTGGTGTTCCCCAGTATGAGGTCACACTAAGACCCACAGTTGTACAGGGAAAACGCCAAGGCCTGCAGATTCTGTTCAATGTCAGGGAGTGAGCTAGACTCACTTGGGGACACATTCCAGACCCCTGACAGGGTTCCCTGTTCTATGCATTCCCACCTTCCCCGGTACTCTCCAGGGTCATAGGAAAGATGAGGACAGAAGGTACAAATGTTATCCTAGTAGCCCCCTTCTGGCCAAGCCAGATCTGGTTGTCTATGCTCATGGAATTGGTGGGTGGACAATATATTCAGCTTCCCAGTATGGCGACTTCAGACCAAGACCCAGTGTTCTCCCTGGAGGTGAATGAGATTCTCTTGCAGTCATACAAACCATCCACTAGACATTCCTACCATTTTAAATGGAAGTGTTTTTCTACCTAGTGTAAGGATAAGAGTATTTCCCCTGCACGGGCTCTCCTTCCAGCGGTATTTGGTTATCTACTCTCTCTGAAGTCTGAGTGCCTCACCTATTCTTCCCTTAAGGTGCACAGCACTTCTATATCCTGTTACTACTCAGGAACTGAAGGGGAAGTCAGGTTTTTTTTTACATAGGTTATTCAAAGATTTCTGTAAAGGGCTCTTTACACCATGGGCTCCACCATGGACTCCACTTGTTCCCCAATGGTCCCTCTCAGTAGTCCTGTTGAGGTTGATGTTTAAACCCTTTGTGCTGTTGACCACATGTCCACTGGCCTTATTGTCCACATGTCCACTGGCCTTATTGTCAACGAGTGGCTGTTTTTTGGTGGTCATCACCTCTGCCAGAAGGGTGAGTGAGCTAGCAGCTCTTAGAATGGACCATTTTTAAAGATGTTTGAGGAAAGGGTGGTATAGCAACCTAGCATCCACTGCCTGTCTAAAATAGTTGCAAGTTTCCACCTCTCACAGGAAATAATCCTACACTTCATACCTTAGGTGTGAGAGCTCTATCATTTTACTTGGAGAGGCCTCTTGGCTTGAGAAAGGTGCAGGCCTTCTTTGTGTTTTATGTGGGCCTCGATAAGGGTAAGAGGGCCTCCTCTCAGACTCTGTTCGGGCGGACAGTGTCAAGGATCAGACTGTTTTATGTGTAGGCCAAACTTCCCTGTTTGCCGGAGGTGTGTGCTCACTCAACTAGAGCACAAGCCTCATCTGCAGCTTTCCTTGATGGAGTCCCTCTGTCAGAGATTTGCAGAGCTTTGATGTGGTCTTCGGCTGATACATCTGTCTGACACTGCTCACTGGACCAGCAGGCCAGAAGAGAAGCGCAGGTTGACAAGGCAGTTCTCCAGTCTGTGTTCAAGTGGCTGTGCGAGAGCGTCATCCCACCTCTACCTTGTTAAAATCCCTGTGTGGGACCGCACAGATTGAAGATGAAAACAGGATTGCATTACCTGTGTCTGTTGTTCATTGAGGATCATCTGTCCAGGCACACATACCTCCGTCTTGCCCCATTGTGTGCTCTCTCATTGGTCTTTTTTTGGTCTCATCAGTTCAGTAGGAATAGAGGGAAAGGGGTGTGATTATGCCAGAGTACCTGACTGGGTGGGAACAGCTCAGTTCAGCTGTGGTGTGCAGCGCCCTCTGGTGGTCTTTGAAAGCTAAAAACGTATCTGTGGCAGGCCTGCTCACGTGCAGGTCCCATGCGTGCCTGCACAGAAAATCCTCCATGAGCAACCCTGTTTTTTCTGCTTCCCAGCTCTCAGTGGTTGTTGGGACTCCAGGGGCTTTTCTGTTGCTGAGTGGGTTTTCTCTCCTCTGTCACAGTATACTTCTTGGAAATTAAGCAGAAAATGGATCAGTGATAGTATGCCAGACAATTTTAGATGTCCCAATCTGCATTATTTGCTGTCACTTTTTTGTAATCATGCAAACTGCTTGGGTAAATACCAGGGATAGAAATACAGAAAATATGTATGTGAACTGGGCAACAATTCTGCTTTTCATTGCCATTGCCACTATCAAGGAATCCTAACCTGTGTTTTTTAACAGTTACATGCTTCTGCTCCAAAAAGTATCCCTAGACATAATACATGTCAGAGATGTCAACTTTGTGCAGTAGGTCAGGTTGGAAGTGCTGCATGTGTCTTCAGAGACTGCTTTTGGAACAGCACTTTTCTTCCCCAAACTCATGTAACTAGGCTGCCCCCAGACAGCATGAAGCTCTTTTGATTTAGCTGTATATATAACTCTTTGTGCGATGTGACAGCCTAATTTTAGAGAAGTAACTTGGTTAACCAAACCCAACTGATGCAGATTACAGATCCATTATTGGATCTCTAACCAGGTATTATATCTTAGGAATTGCTTGTTAGATAAATCCAAGTATTTAATGTGGTCCAGGATCCCTGCATTAAGAGTGGTGGACTCTAATCTGGACAACTGGGTTTGATTCTTCACTCCTCCATGTGAAGCCTGCTTGGGTGACCTTGGGCCAGAACTTTGTCAGCTCCACCTACCTCACAAGGTGCCTTTTGTGTGGAGAGGAAGGGAAAGGCAATTGTAAGCCACTTTTAGACTCCTTAAGGTAGAGAAAAGTGGGGTATAAAAACCTACTCTTCCTCCTTTCTGTGTGAAGCCATCTTTTTTTAAAGGAACTAATTTAGATTTCTTTGGTATTTATGAACAGCCAGAGGGCAGCACTAGTGTGTCTTGCCGAGACTGTAGTGGTCACTTCTTTCAGAACAGGCAAGCTTTGCACCTGAGCTTTTTCGATTAAGAAAAAAAAATAAGGGGAAAACCTCAAAATCCAGCAACTAAATAGAATTAATAGAATAAAGCAAGAGTCCAGTAGCACCTTAAAGACTAACAAAATTTGTGGCAGGGTATGAGCTTTTGTGAGTCACTGCTCACTTCTTCAGATCTGAAGATCTGTACACAGGCACGGAGGGTCCATTTTTGTTGACC